CATCAAAACCACATGAAATATTATTAAGAGAAATTAGTGAAGCAGAACAAAACAAAATTTTTAACGCAACCAAATTTTTAGATTTAACGCAAACCCTAAAACTGTTAATTAGGAAATAATCTTTGCAGTTATTGTGAATAATTTACATTCATAGAATAGGAAATTAGTCATTATGAATTGTAATTAGTTATTATCAGCTATAATTAGTTATTATGAGTTGTAATTACCGACACTATTATATATAGTATGAAAGGCAATGAGAAAGGCATCAAGCCAAATTTCGTGACATGGTATCAGTAGGTTCGATCAAACCTGGAAAATATTATTATATTGGCTGATCAGCGATACCCCACTGGTTCGCTCTCGTAATCGTGTTCGTTTCGAAATTCTTTCGTTTGAAATCGAAACCTTGCAGCTGTCTGAGATTCTAAATCTTTGGTTGCCGGTTCGTGATTTCGTCTTGGAGATTCTCGTTGTTGCGCTGATATTGCAATCAATTTTTTTGGTTCTTGGCTGTTGTTGCTTCGTGATTCTGGATCGTCATAATCTTCTGTTTTGCCGCTCCTTCCAAATCGTGGATTTGATCGTGCTGTTGTTCGTTGGTTCGTGGGTATTGTTTCTTGTTGCTGCTCTAGTAACTGTGATTACAGTTACTGTTATTATATTATAGTTATTATTATTATTATAATTATTATTATAATAATAATAAAATAATATTAGTGAGATTGTATCTGGTGGTTTAATAATTTAGATGGCTTCCGAAAAAGAAAGAGATAATTTTTGTGTTCGTTTTACCGGCAAGAATTATTCGGCATGGGAATTTCAGTTCAAGATGTATGTTAAAGGAAAGGGATTATGGAGTCACTTAGATGATGTTTCTAAGGCACCAACGGAGAAAACTGCTTTAGATGCGTGGGAAACTAAAGATGCTCAAATTATCACTTGGATTCTAAACAGTATTGATCCTCAGATGATAAATAATTTGCGTTCTTTTTCAACTGCTCAAGAAATGTGGAATTATCTGAAGCGCATTTACAACCAGGACAATTCGGCAAAACGTTTTCAGTTGGAGTTAGACATCGCCAACTACAAACAAGGTGATTTGTCTATTCAAGAATACTACTCTGGTTTTTTAAATCTTTGGGCAGAACACTCTGCTATTATACATGCTAATGTTCCCAAGACCTCTCTTGCGGCTGTTCAAGAGGTCTACAACACAAGTAGGCGAGATCAATTCCTCATGAAGCTTCGTCTAGAATTTGAGGTTGTCAGAGGTGCTTTGCTAAATAGGAATCCTGTTCCTTCTTTGGATACATGTGTTGGTGAACTTCTCAGGGAGGAACAACGTCTCCTTACTCAAGGAACCATGTCTCATGATACTGTCAGTTCTGAGCCTGTGGCAATTGCATATGCTGCTCAAAGTAGAAATAAAGGTCGTGATATGCAACATGTCCAATGTTTTTCTTGCAAACAGTTTGGACATATTGCTCGTAACTGCAATAAGAAGTTTTGTAATTATTGCAAACAACAAGGTCATATCATTTCTAACTGTCCCACGCGTCCTCCACGACCAGCACATCATTCGGTGAAGGCATTTCATGCCACTACAGGCCATACAATTGGCTCTTCCACCACTGGTGCATCAGATGGCAATGCTCTACAACCTGAAATGATTCAACACATGGTACTTTCTGCCCTTTCAGCCTTGGGTATTAAGGGTAAGTCTTCTCATGTTTCTCGTCCATGGTTTATTGATTCTGGTGCATCCAATCACATGACAGGTTCATCTGAAAACTTGCACAATTTACATTCTTATAATGGTAATCAGAAAATTCAGATTGCTAATGGTAATACCTTGTCTATCACTAACGTTGGGGACATAAACTCGGATTTTCAGAATGTGCTTGTCTCACCTGGACTTGCTTCTAATTTATTGTCTGTTGGTCAATTGGTGGACAATAATTGTAATGTTAATTTTTCTCGATCTGGTTGTCTTGTGCAGGAGCAGGTGTCGGGGAAAGTGATCGCGAAGGGGCCTAAAGTGGGAAGATTGTTTCCAATACAGTTTATTTCTAATCATTTGTCTCTTGCTTGTCATAATGTTTTGAATTCCTATGAGGATTGGCATAGAAAACTAGGTCATCCAAACTCTTTTGTTTTGTCTCATTTATGTAAAAGTGGCTTGTTGGGAAATAAAAATGTTATTCCTGATGCCTCTGTTTCATGTTTTGTTTGCAAATTGGCTAAAAGTAAGACACTTCCTTTTCCGTCTGGTGCTAATCGTGCTTCCACTTGTTTTGAGATGATTCATAGTGATGTATGGGGAATGTCTCCTGTGGTTTCTCATGCTCACTATAAATATTTTGTCACATTTATTGATGATTATAGTCGTTTTACTTGGATATATTTTCTCCGTTCTAAATCCGAAGTGTTTTCTATGTTTAAGAAATATTTGACATATGTTGAAACTCAATTTCAAGCAAGTGTTAAAATTTTTCGATCTGACTCTGGTGGTGAGTACATGTCTCATGAGTTTTAGGAATACCTTCAACAAAAAGGCATCTTGTCTCAACGGTCTTGTCCCAATACCCCTCAACAAAATGGCACGGCAGAACGTAAGAATCGTCATTTGCTTGATGTAACACGCACCTTACTTCTCCAAGCTTCTGTACCATCCCGATTTTGGGTGGAGGCTCTTTCCACGGCTGTCTTCTTGATCAATCGTATTCCTTCTACAGTTATTGATCTTGATTCTCCTTTCTTCCGTCTATTTAAAATTCATCCTGATTATAGTGCTTTACATACTTTTGGGTGTGTGTGTTTTGTTCACTTACCTCCTTTTGAAAGGCATAAGCTTGGAGCACAATCCGTTCAATGTGCATTTATGGGATATAGTAACTCTCATAAGGGATTTGTGTGTTATGATGTCTCTAACCATCGTTTTCGCATTTCTAGAAATGTGACATTTTTTGATAATCAGTTTATGTTTCCCTGTGGTTCTCCTGCCATTAATGATATTGTTACTCTTCCTAACTTTTCTATTATGCCTCAAGCTATAGAACGTTATAAACCAGGTCATGTATATGTCAGAAAACACAGACAACAGGTTCCCACACCCCTTTCCGATGCTGAACTGCCACCTGATCCTGTACCGGTTGAACCACGACGTTCTGGTCGAATATCCTGCGCACCAGATAGATATTCACCAGACAGGTATGATTCCTCACATACTTCTCTGACTGCCACACTCTCTAGCATATCTATTCCTACTTGTTACTCACAGGCTGTTAAAGATGTGCGATGGATAAAAGCAATGACTGAAGAGCTCCAAGCTCTTCAAGAGAATTTCACATGGGATATCGTCACTTGTCCTCCAAATGTAAAACCTATAGGTTGCAAATGGGTGTATTCTGTGAAACTGAATTCTGATGGGTCCCTCAATCGTTACAAGGCTCGTTTGGTTGCGTTAGGAAACAAGCAGGAATATGGAATTGATTATGATGAGACATTTGCACCGGTTGCCAAAATGACAATTGTCCGCACAATCATGTCTATAGCTGCTTCTAATGGGTGGACTCTTCATCAAATGGATGTGAAGAATGCTTTTCTTCATGGTGACCTGACAGAAGATATTTATATGACTCCACCTCAAGGCTTATTCTCTTCATCTAAAGGCGTGTGTAAGCTCAAACGCTCCTTATATGGTTTGAAACAGGCACCTCGAGCATGGTACGAGAAATTCCGCGCCACTATACTTGGATTCTCCTTTACTCAGAGTCAGTATGATTCATCTTTATTTATTCATAGCACATCTGCGGGTATTGTTCTGCTTCTTTTGTATGTTGATGATATGGTTATTACTGGTTCGGATCATGCTTCCATTCAGCGACTTAAGCAACAGCTACAGGCCTCATTTCATATGAAAGATCTGGGTAATCTACATTATTTTCTTGGTCTTGAGGTTCATTCTACATCCAAGGGCATCTTTCTCCATCAACACAAGTATGCTACAGATTTGATTTCTATGGCCGGTCTTGAATCGGCTAATCCAGTAGATACTCCTCTTGAGGTTAATGTTAAATATCATCGTGATGATGGGGATCTGTTGCCTGATCCCTTATTGTATCGACAACTTGTGGGTAGCCTCAACTACTTGACTATTACTCGCCCTGACATATCTTTTGCTGTTCAACAAGTAAGTCAATTCATGCATTCTCCTCGCCATCTTCACTTGGCTGCAGTTCGTCGTATAATTCGCTACTTAAAAGGAACCTCTCACCGCGGATTATTCTTTTCCGTTGGAACTTCTCTTCAGTTGAGCGCTTATAGTGATGCTGATTGGGCAGGGTGTCCTGATACTCGTCGATCTGTTACTGGTTGGTGTATGTTTCTTGGTTCTTCATTGATCTCTTGGAAAAGTAAGAAGCAAGCAAGAGTTTCTAAATCTTCTACTGAATCAGAGTATCGTGCCATGTCTGCTGCGTGTTCAGAAATACTTTGACTTCGTGGTCTTTTGGCTGAACTTGGATTTCCCCAAACAGAGTCAACTTCACTTTATGCTGACAATACAAGTGCCATCCAAATTGTTGCAAATCCTGTTTTTCATGAACGCACCAAACATATCGAAGTTGATTGTCATTCAATACGTGACGCCTACGATGATCGAATAATATCACTTCCTCACGTCAGTACGCAGTTGCAGGTTGCAGATATTCTTACCAAGGCTGTTCCACGCCCAAGACATCAGTTTCTTGTTAGCAAATTGATGCTCCTTGACCAGCCGCATCAATTTGAGGGGGGATGTTAATTAGGAAATAATCTTTGCAGTTATTGTGAATAATTTACATTCATAGAATAGGAAATTAGTCATTATGAATTGTAATTAGTTATTATCAGTTATAATTAGTTATTATGAGTTGTAATTACCGACACTATTATATATAGTATGAAAGGCAATGAGAAAGGCATCAAGCCAAATTTCGTGACAAAAACGACTGATAATGGAGCAGCGTCAGCAACAGATGATGTCCTTCCTAGCAAAGGCTATGCATAGTCCTGGCTTCATGGCTCAATTTTCACAGCAGCAGACTGAAAGTAATAGACATGTCACCGGAGGTAAAAAGAGGCGGCTCCAAAGGCAGGAAGAAGAAAACTTAGCCACCAAGAATCTCCATAATCCTCTTGATGGTCGTGTAGTCAAGTATCAGCCTTCAATTAATGAGACTGCAAAAGCATTATTCAACCAGATGATGCAAATGAACAACTCTACAAGGACGGAGTCGTCCAATAAGAACCTTGATGCATTCCTTATCGACGATATTCCTTCAACTATTCCGTTAGATAGCAGTAGTTCATCCACCCAAGTTTCTGGTGTAACACTTTCTGAGGTTCCACCTATTTCTGGGCGTATGGCAGTAGAATCTCAATTTCCTATAGGTTGTATGACTAATAGCATGTCTGAGGTACAATCTTCACCTTCTGTGTTGACTGACTGTGTCAAAGCAACTGAATTTCCTGAATTAACGGCACATCACTGCCAAGACAATGTCCTGAATTTTGGTAAAGTTCAAGGACTGGCTACGGAAAGCAGCTTCATGAATCTTGGTCAAAATTTTGTGGGGTCTGTCACTGAGAATGACGAGGAGCTGGATGTGATATCGGCTGTTTTTGATGGGACACAGTCTTTGGAAACTGATGCTTTTTCTCCTGATACGAATGAGATTTCTAAGCTTCAAGGAATCAACGATGAGTTCTGGGATCTGTTTTTTATGCCAAACTCACTTACTGGAGATACAGATGAAGTTAAAGGTAGCTCTTTAGGATATGGTTTGACCAAGGACCAGGAATTGTCATTAGAACAGGAGATTCAACAAGAAAATATGGATAAGAAACAACATATGGACCATCTTACTCAACAGATGGAACTTCTTGCATCAGACTCATCATTGTGTATATAATAGTTTTTTGCAAATGAAGGTAAATTTACATGCTTTCCTTTCTGGTTCTAATTGTTACTTGACTTGAAACTAATGTAAAATTGTTTGTCATTAGCATGTTCTTTTGCTGTCTTGTCTTCTTCAATATGGTGACTGTTGTACAGATAGGGAAGAATATAGCTTTTACATGGATGTGTATATATATATTAACATCTGATATTGTTCATAACCCTAGATGTATATTATTAATACAGATGTATATTTCACTAGTAATGTATGTGCCTTTTTTTAGCTCTTGAGAATGTATCACTTTTATAAGAATTGTTAAGGATTAGGCTATTGTTTTTGTAAAATAAGTGTTGGCTTATTTAGGCAAAGTCTAGTTTAGAGTATAGACTATCCTAATTTTACCTTTCTATTATGTGAATGTCTATGATGTATGCCTGATTTTGATGTTGTTTCCACTCCAGAATTTGGAAATTAATGTTGTGTAAGAAAATTGATGAAAAGATGAGACTGTGATTTGTGAAATCTATTTTCTATACCAGTGCAGTGTAAGATAACATATGAAAAAATGACACTACACTTGGTGTTTCAGTCATTTGACTTAAATTTATATTATATCTCTCCATCAGGTTATAGGCAAAGTGGTTGTGGTAACTAGTGGAGCCTCTGAATTGGAGAAAGCATTGCTCACCTATTCCATTCCCACGGTGCTAAAGCCTGTATGGCTGACGTCGAAGACGATCTGGGACATAAGCTCTGTGACTTATGCGATCAGGTATTGTTCATGTATTAGCTCCAAGGACTTGTGCCATAACTTATTGCTCTTTTTTCTGGCATAACACAATTCTGCAGATTAGCCAACTTGTCCTAGATAATAGACTGGTCCAGATTATTACTTGGACTAGTTTTTGTAAAATTGATTTAGGATGATCATGATCTTGATTAAAAATGAATTCTAAGTTATTAAACAATCCATCTTGAAAAACTTTTCTCTTAAAAGTAAGTATGATTCGTGAAGTAAAATTTAGTTTTCTGCATAAATTATAATTCTTACAATATGTTGAGGTTCCATCTTGCATGAGAATTATGGACAGAGTCAAGCAATATGCATTATATAGTTTTCTGCATAATGTAATATTAGATGGTGATAGAATGTCATCAAACCATTTCTAAATATTTTTTATATGCAGAGTTAAATTCTTTTATAAATTTTATAGTAATTGATTAGAAATTGAAGGATGGAAGAAAAACAAATATTACATTGCTGAAGTAATATGGAAATGGGAGAATCCAAAAATCAGTTCTGAGCATACTATAATCCAAAATTTCTTCCTTCCACTATACTGCCTCTACTCCATCTTAAGTTTCTTATCATGGAAGTAACAATTATTTTGATGGAATCCACTTGAGCCTTGATTATATAAAACTCAGCAACATTTTTTCACATTATCGAATGCTTTTACAGAAGTTGCTCGCTTTTACAGGCAATGCAATAAGATCAGTTAAGATCGCAGACACTATTATAGGATATAATACAACAATGTATAAACTGTTCTGCAATTTCTTCAGGCTTCTTGTCAAATAGCCCTTTAAATTTTTTTTTGAGCTTTCTTCTAAACTTCCGACAAATAAATAGAAATTCATGTAAGAATAAGTTCATGTCGTTTCCTTCTGTGACCTTTCAAGTATTTAAGAGAAAAACCAATTAGTCATTTCAAACCCACCTGCTCTTTCTGATTAAGTTTATAAGGGTTGTTGTTGCATTCAATACAATTGATTTTTCTAATTTCATCATCTAAAGTAAAAGCCCAATATTGACTTCAAAAAATGATAGTATGCCTTATATTCAAAATGATAGCATGCCTTGTATTCAAAATAAGGTACTGTGTTAAGATTCTCATGGCTACCAAATTCATGTAACTTTCTCTTTCTCTATTTCTTCTTTTATTTCTCTACACATAATCGAAATCAAATTACTGTAAACGTGATTTCATTTTCAAATTTTTGATAATTTGCTTAGGATTCCGGTGATTGGAGGTAAGGAACTGGATTTGCACGTTCTCTATGTGAAGGTTACAACCAGAAGTGGTTATGAAAAAGTTGTTAAGGAAAAAAAATGGAGAGAAGTAGGTACTGTGTTTAGATTATCATCTACCACTACAAGCGCTTCTTTTGTGTTAAGAAAACACTATTTGAATCTTCTTTACCATTACGAACAAGTTCATTTCTTCAAACTTCAACCGTGTTTGTATATTGTAGATGCATTTTCTGGAAATAGTCCTTCGTGGAAACCTGAATTAGCTATTGTTCAATATTCCCCTAAAGTGGTAAACAATAGTTCTAATCTCATGATGAAGGTAATTCAATGGTTAATTATCAATATTCAAGGAATCTGGAATGTGTTCGATGTAATGCTGCTGAGAGTTAAAAGTTGGATTAGTGTGAAAAGTAGTTTATAATGTTAAACTGTTAAGTAATTGTGATTTGAAATTGAGAATAAGTTGAAAGTAGTATAAAGGGAAGCGGAAACCCTAAACGGAGAAGGACTTTTACACGATAATCATAAAACCCCAGACCCCAATTTCAAACACAATCCTAATTTTAAAAAAAAAAACCTAAATACAGAGAAAGGGATATACTCATCTTTGTTGCTATCGAAGTCCATTAAATTTTCCATCTCTTTCATTATCGGGCATTGATCGGTGGATTTTACTTATGTTTTTCACACCGTTGGCATAGTTGTTTTTGCATTGTTTTATCTGTTTTTCTTATCTTTGGTTTGTTTATTTGAGTTATTTGCAATCATTGTGTCATAAGTCCTATTTTGAGGTATGCATTATTTTTACCGCCGGTGCGTTTAATTTGGTCTCTTTTAGTGTATTTTTGGCAGGAATTGGTGGTCTGACGTCTGTACTGTTTCGGAGGCAAGGAAAAGCTGAGAAAGACAAATTCAGGAGCCTGACACGGGTGCCCGTGTTGCACAACACGGCCCGTGTCAGGAGGGCAAGACTTGGAGGACACAGGCAAGAGAAGAAGAAGGAAAACAGAAGAGCAACACGGGTGCCCGTGTTGCACAACACGGCCCGTGTTGCAGCTCCTGATGCATATTTTCAAACGTTTGGATACAGCAGCAACACGGGTGCCCGTGTTGCACAACACGGCTCGTGTCAGGGCCACTGATGGTTAAATTGTCATTTTTCTGAATTTTTGCTATTGGAGCCATTTCAAGGGGCATTTTAGACATTTTACCGATGTAATTTGAATTGAGTTATTTGAGTCGTACTGTGAGAAAAAAAAGATAACTTTTGGATTGGGAATAGAACTGGAGAACGGAACAAGGAGAAGTATGGAGAACGAAGGATCTATCAACGGCGGAAGCAATTGATGATCCAAGTGAACCAACTCAAATTGTAATGATTTCTTACTTTTTAATTCTAAATACATTTGATTCGATCATGAACATGAGTGGCTAAACCCCCATTTGTTAGGGGGTGGTCCTAAATTGCGATGTATTGACAATCTGTTGGATTATCTTATAAGAAGTTTTTATTCACCCTTTTTATTTTATTTTGCAACGATCTTAATGCTTATTCGTATTGGAAAGTAGAATTCGATTCACGATTAGGATTTGGTCTGGAAAGTCAACCTAATGTTTTTGCAAAATAATAGTACGGTTGATATTGCCTAGGAATGGGGATATCCCGTATCAAGTGTTGTATGTCAGAACTATTGCTTGATGCTTTTCATAGACACTGAGGAATTAGTGTATATGAAATTCATCAAAGGGTTTTTCACAAGGAATTAAGAAAAACTATTTTTATAAACTGACTCACTAAGGGTAATACAAACTGTCTGAGAATAATCCTGCAGGGTCTTTACTAGCATTTTGGCCACGCCCCGAATTATAAAAATTCCGTTAATTTCTACGCAGTCCACGAGATCGATACTTGGGACCTTTTTCCCTTATTACTACAATCGGTAAAAATAGTACACTTGCTATTTTCCCGATCAAGTTTTTGGCGCCGTTGCCGGGGACTGCCAAATTAACGTTATTTTTAGAATTCAAAGGAAATTTTGTTGCTCTGCGACTAAATTTTTTATCTTTCGTAATTTTATTTTCTTTGTGCTTGGATTATCTAACATTTGTCTAACTGTGTATGCGAGGTCAGGCCTCAGCTAAATATTCTTTTGATACAGAACCAGAGAGAGCACTACACGAAAGACTGAGAAAAGCAAGAATCGAAAGACTGGCAGGGTCAAGTTCAGGCTCCTACGTTCCGTTGATTGAAAGAGAGGAAATTGTGATTGTGCACAGTGATTCAGAGGCAGAGACAAAGACTGTTCAAATGGCTTGAAATCCACCTCAGCCTGAAAGACTTTTGGGAGATTATGGAGGGGCTAATGCTCAACCAAATCGGATGACTATTGTTAACCAACCGGTGAATGTGGCACACTTCCAGCTGCATCCTTCCATCATTCGCCAATTGGAGAGCAAACCGTTTGCAGGGAGAATCAACGAAGATGCAAATAAGCATCTTCAGAGATTCTTAACAACCACCACATCTCTGAAGATAGAGGGCCATTCTGAAGAAGCCAAAAGACTTGTGATGTTTCCATTCACTCTTACTGATGACGCGGAAGAATGGTTCTACTCACTTCCTGCTGGGAGTATCACAACATGGCAAGAGATGGAAAATGCGTTTCTTAACGAGTATTTCCCTGCGTCGGTGTTTATCAGAAAAAGATATGACATTGTCAACTTCAAACAGAAAGAAGGGGAATCTTTAGGAGATGCGTATAAGAGGTTCAAGAGATGTCTGACAGCATGCCCCACCCATAACATGGATGCCACCGAACAGATGCAGAACTTTGTGAACGACTTACGACTGAAGACCAAACAGCTAATAGACACTGCTGCCGGTGGCTCGACAAATTTCTCAACAGCTACAGATATAAAAAGAATCATAGAAGCTATCGCTACCAACGAGTACCTGGAGTTGTATGATCGCACTGTG